AGGTACAAAAACAACTAATGATCGAAACCCTACAACGCCTGTGAGCTTGGGAAAAATGAATTGAAAATAGCATCTTCTTAGATAACAAATTCCGCCAACGCCAAGCTAATGAAGTTTTTGGGCTGAAATTTTTACCACTTATTAAGGGTGCAAGAAGCTTCAAAAATCCTGAATTACAAGTGTCTGCGATGAAAATTGCATTAATTATTAGCAATTGAAAAAAGCGGACAATTTCGACCATTTTTGAGCTCTTGCGCATAAACAAATTATCGGAATTTAATCGGACTTGTCTTATTTTACAGATTTATTTAATACCCACCTTTTTTGTATAAACCTTTTTTTTTTTCTATGAATAACAGTTTTTTTTATGCCAGTCGAAAAACTACTTTTTCATAATTTTGACCATTGTTTTAACAAAGTTTCCCAACTAGTCTCGAGTTGATTTTTTGACATTTTGTTTATAACACGTTTCTGAACAATATTCCGCAGAAAAACTTCTAATAGTATTTTTTTCCCGAAAAAAAGCTATAATGATTGGCCTATATATATTCTTCCAAAATCATGTTGATTGGACAAAACAATATTAAATTTATTACAGTAAAATGGAATAGTTATGTCATTTTAACTTAACTAACTTAACTTTTTGTTTTTCAATTATAACAAACTTTTTTTCAATGAACCTCTATATATATCTTGATATCCACATATTTCCTTTCAAATGATGATACATAACATGAACATATTTTTTTCTCATGTATAAACACTAAAAATATATATTATTTTGTAATTCAGTTATTTCCTAGCAAAATAATTTTTAACATTTAAAATTTTTTAGATAATTTTTCTGTATAAATATTGATCGGAAATTTAACGCAGACCCATAAATCCAAAAATATAAATTGTTTGTGTTACAAATGAAGAATAAGAAGTTATTAAAAATATGGAAAAATACTGTCTACAAAAAGGTTTGTTACTTTGTAAAGAAATAAAAATCTAACATTTTAATAAACAAAGAAGTTTTAGAGTATCATAAAAAACAATAAAAACAACGTCCCCTATATCGAATTTCGAGAAATAGTCGACACCTTATACAGTTTGTTATTTTATTCATTACTCACAGTCAAGGGAAAGAGGTGTTTTTGTCCAGTGTTAATAAAAAAAATCACAACTTACCTTCATCTTTACAAAGGAACGCAAATGCATTCCCAAAAATTGGCCACGCCGTGGGACCAGGTAACCGCCACGATAACTTAAAAATTTCTTTGTTTTTGTATATGTAAATCGCAATTATAATAAAAATTACAGCAAATACATCTACGTGCGAGAACCAAACCATATTTAAAAATGCTCACTACACTAATTTGTCACTTCGAATTAATTTTTGATTCAAATCGTCAGTTCATTCCGAAACTTCCTAAGTCACTGGCACTGTAGCAAACTTGTAAATACGTACTACACCAGTCAAGCAAAAAAGTGGAAGTGCGTCCCAGTTTTGAAGAAAGATGTAGTTTAAATCCAAGGTGTACTTGTCATAGTCGTGTGATGGTGTAATAAAATTTATTTTTATTGTTACTCATTCGTTGTTCGATGTTACGTGTGTCACATCATTCGCCAACGAAAAATTTCTACATAATTAATAATAATTCATTATACTATTAGTGTCGCACTATTTTGAGTAAAAAGCTGTTAATTTTTATTGAAGATGTATAATTTTCAGACCTGTTGAATTAAAAACTAATTTCAAAGATATTAAAAATTTGTTATCGTACATTGACAGTTTTTATTGAGTATACAATACTTACGTTATGTTCCAAGGAACAAAAAAATTTACATTAATAAATATAAATTAATTATTAAGAAATTTTATTTTAGTGACTAGGTTGTTTATTTCCTCGAAACGTGTGCCATATTTATTTGTAGTTTGTATACCATTTATGTCCAGTGAAAACATTTGTTTCCCCATCATTCTAAAATTTGTTATTTTTATATTTATCTCATATTGACAAAATTCAAAAGACTTACCTTTTTAGTTCTGAGACTGTTTGTTTTAAACTTATGTTACAATACTATATACAGTATTCGTTTAAGACTAAGTAGCTATCGATATATTTTCAGTTTTATACGAAAGGTTGAAATGTAATAACTGCAAAATGCTATTAAGTACTTATCTGTGCAGTTGTTTGAACAAGTGAAGACAATGTACAATATACCAGAGGCGGAACTACAGATATATTTAAATTAGGTACTTTAATCTACATATTTTCTAATAATCCCATTACATTATTTGGATGTTATTCTACATCTAAATTAAAAAAAAATACATAAAGTATCTCTCTGAACAACTTTGAAATCATTATCAAAGACATTTATATTTTTTGAAAGAATACCGTTCTACTTTAATTTGAATTAAATTTATTATTATTAAAAAAAAACTATTGAGACCTTTATGATGTTCTTGTAACCTCTTTTCAAAAACAAATTTCGTAAATTCGTAATTGAATAATGTTATTTTATACAAAGTAAATCGTAACACCATGTCGGACACCAATGGGCCTTTCATAGCTTTAAGCTTGGTTCTAAGTTTACAACAACAATTATTAAAATGTAATGCACTTCTAGATGCAGTTAATTTAAAAAGAATTATGTTTCATGTTTTTTTTATCTTGTACCTGATATGTTTTTAGTAATATAACTTGCATTAGACGTAACATAACAGTTTAATTTGAATAATAATTACTAGACATCGGAAACTTTGTGGTGACAATCAAATAAAAAAATAGTAGTAATCTACATTATGCTAGTAAACGGAAATACACCTTGTAGTAGCAGACGAGCTGTGTGCCGCTCTATGCTCACGATACACAATGCTAATGACTCCCAAAAAAGCACGTGCTGTACACTCGATCAAGCAAAGCACACACGCACAAATGACAATGAAATACACGGAAATTTCTCGGAAAAAAACGGAGATTGTTAATCATCAGCACGGTAGGCCGACAGGACAGGCATTAGGGTGCAGCTAGATACGTTTCGAATATATTGATCGATGCGAAGCTGCAGATCAGAGGTAGACATGTACATGTTATGGTACAATGATGCGGATAGTGGGATCACTAAAATGTGAAGTAGTTATTGTATCATACTATTAAGCAAATACTTACATTATATTCTTATAATGTAAAGGGTGCAGTTATAAGAAGGCAACGGTTGTTGGTGGTTCTGAGAATAATAATATACAAACCCCCTTCCGCATGGGTTTCCGTTTTTTTAGATCACTGTACGACAAAAAAAGACAAACAAATAATTACCTTAATTTATGACCATTTCAAATTATACTACATAATTTTACGATTTTTTATCCTTATCATGTATCCACCTGAAGGCCTGATTGACACGTCCGTCAGCAATTTTAAATCTTTTAAATTTCCTCCGCATTCTATAATGTAGTTTTGTAGAATTGTACCTATTATGATCTTCATGTTCACATAAGAATACTGCTGGGCTAAAAAAACATTTTACGGGATTATATTCACCATAAAATATTACAAATTTAAATTTAAGGAAATAATATATCTTAAATATATACCTATGCAGCGTCTGGGTCCAGCACTAAAAGGTAGAAAAGCGAAAGGGTGCCGGTTTGAAATAGCTTCAGCAGTGAAATGTTCAGGGTAAAATTCTTCTGGCTTCTCCCATAACCGTGGATTTCTATGCACCTGGTAAACACAGAAAAGAACCGAACAACCTGCTGGAAATGTCCATTTCCCTAAGAAATAGCCTTTGATTAAATGAATAATTTTACAAATCTACATAAATATGTTTTTAAACTACAAAAAATGTTTCTTTTTTCAGTCAGGCGAACCTGACCTAATAACTAATTGTTGCTTGTGTTTCAATCAAAAGAACAATTATACAGGTTCTAAGTCTTATTTGTTATAATTCATATGAATCATCTTCGACCAAAAAGCCTTAATGAATCAAAAACTAAAATAACTGTATCTCCAAAACTAATTGGTCAAATTCATAAAATAAACCACGGTTGTGTAGAGAATTATAATACATTACAAACGATGTGTCACTTAACCTTCCTTCCCTATTAAGATTTTTAGGGGTTGCCTACCACCCCCCTCCCTATGAGGGTAGAGTTCGATCAAAAATCGACTTGTCCTGGCGTTTTTCGGAAAAATTATATTCCTGAGAGTTATTCGCCGTTTCGTTTTCAAGAGCCCACCCTGTATACTGTAATTGTTAAAATTTGCCTGCCCCCTTTGCTATTCCTCACATAATTAAGCCCTTAGTACCACGTCATTGGTTGACACATTTAATTGAGTATTTAGTATATAAGTCTCTAGATTTATGAATTATGACGTAAACTTAGGAAGGCCCTGATATTTACCCAATCGGACGTCTTCAACCACGTCTCTAGGCAAGAAAGGTCCCAAAGGAAAAAGACGCATAGCCTCCTTTATGCACATTTCCATATATTTCAGTTTGCCCAAGTCGCCGAAATCCAAGCATTTCTTATCTCCAAGAACTTTTTTGAGCTCTTCCACAAGATTACACTAAAAATAAACACTAATAAGACAAGAAGTACGTAGAAAGATGATTACCGTACCTGAATCTGAGGATGCATTCCCAACATCATCAGAGTGAAAGCAATCGCTGAACTTTGAGTATCTTGACTCTAGTTAAAATTGTAATAATGTTACATTTATACAAAAATAATTAAATTAGTTCAAAGTGCGCATTATTTAACTTAGTAATATTTCATGACTTTTAATGTTTCCAGTACGTGATATTATTTATTACTTCATGTTTTTAAGCAAAACATGTATCATTGACCCAGTTTGTACGTTATTTCTGACCCTGAATAAAACGTACTTGTTTATAATAATCGCAATGAAATCTACCATAATAGGACTTACTGTCGCTACAAAAGTAAGCATGTGGTCCTTGAATTCCGTTTCATTTAGACATTCTGGGTTGTTTACCACCATTTCCACCATAGCTTCTAACATGGATGGTTGTCTCGGATTCTTAACTTCTTGTTTACAGTCTAGTTTCTTTAGAATTTCTGGAATTCTAGCATTCTTCACCTAAATAAGCCAATCATTAATTACTGTACTAACATATACAGGGCGTTTTTATCTGAATGTTGACCAGTAGTGTGATACAGTTCTGCTTTCAAACTGAGGAAAAACATTATTTATTACCTCTTCTGTCAAGGTAGTTGCTATTTTAACCATTGCCAGCTGTTCTTTGTAATAACTGGTTAGTTTATAAAAACAGTCTGGGTACATCCAAAACGATACAGTTCTTAAGGAAAATATATGATAAAATCTGAATAAAAATCGGAAAGTTAGTTTATTTTTAAAAGCAACGATTTAAATTTACCTTCTAACGTATTCAGGAATGTGTTTATAGTCTATGGAATGATCATTTTTGTCTTCTACCAGAATATCTGAAAAATCAATTTCATTTTAATACAATATATCGTTAGATCGAACAACTTTTAACTTAAGAGTTATTTGATTTATGTATTTGTTTAATTTCAGAACATTTATTTCTGTTCTGTATTATAATTTATTCATAAATGAATTCCATTTGAAATTTAAGAATATATAGACTGTAACAGGGCTTTGTTATTTTTGATACACGTACATATCAAAGGAATCACCATTTTTTTAAAAGAACAATAAAATTTTAAAATCGTACTCACCCATTGTGGCTTCGAATGCAGATTCATGTAACAACATCAAAACATCAAATGCATCTTTATCAGCATATGGTTTGAGAACATTAGCAAATTTGGTAGCATGTTTTTGAAAAAGATGGCTATATCCTTCCAAAACCTTTGGTCCAAATAAGGGCTGAAGTAGTTTCCTTTGGGATTTATGTTGAAACCCTAAAAAATATTACATATTCGGTGCTTCCAAAGCTTGAACTATTATGCCAGAGGTTAAATATCAAAATGTGTTTAAAATGTAAATTACTTAGTAGCATCTTCCAAATAGAATAAAGAAGTTGCCTTACCTGAAGAAGTAAACAGACCTTTTCCCATGAAAGGTTCCAGAAATCTGTATATGAACGATTTTGTCGACATTTTTGATGACTGCATTAAAACCTAAACAAAAATGGTGCTATAAAATTTGTTCATAAGTTTAAATTCGAGATTTCTAACTTGTAGTTGATCGGGGTCCTTTATAAAAACAATAAGTCTTGGACCTAACCAAAGCTTCCCAGGAGAAGGATAAGGGTCAGTTAGTTTCAGTATTTGATCTAGTAATTCTGCGGAAAAAAATATAATTATTACTGGAATGTAGATCATATGCAATAAATTCGTATTTAAGTTTATATTATAATATATAATTTAATAAAGCTACTAACGAAGAAACATTTACCACAAAATGTAATGCTAATAAAAATGATAATACATATATCAATTTTTTACACGCTATCTAGCATTAAGATTATATAGGTACAATTTTTGAAAAGGTTCATTGTTCGATCGTTTACGAATCTACATAGTTATTTTTCACTTGTTCTTAACTTTAATTTGTCATTCATAAAAAATTGAAATTAAAATATTCCTGCCAGTAATTTTCCATTTGCGTAACATACGATTATATTAATATTTTTATTTTCTTGCTCACCTTCCGTTTTGCACATGAAGGAGAACCCGTTGCCTACCAGGGGTAGAGCTGTTGGGCCGGGCAGTTGGAAAGACAAAACGTACAGTTTCCGGCGCCGCCACAAGAACCAAACACACAAAAACGATCCGAAAATTAAAAGGTAATACGAAAGATTTTCCATCTTGACGCTGTCTTAGCGACAGACGAATAGGGTTTCTCGGAGAGAAATCAATCTTATAAATTAGATATGTAAAGCAATGAAACCTTCATTAAGTGGGGTAATAATTTAACGGCAAGAAATTATTTTTCATTGACCCCAGAAATGGTACACACAGGTAGGACAATCTAGTGAAGTATACATTGGCGTACTAGGAACCTCAGCCTTCACTAACTTGAATTTTCCTTTCTAATTCTTAATACCTCAAACCTTTCAAATCGTATTAATTACATATTATTTAGATTTTTGTTGAAAACCACACCATTAAGAAAAAAAAAACAATTTTGGAATACAACTGTTAACCATCGTCTCTTGATATTTATAGATATTTGTTCAGGAAAGGATGGACAATTTGGACAAAATATTTTGTAATACGAATCTTAAGTTACGGATAGATGCTTTTACATAGGTTCTAGTATAGCTTTTGTAAAATAAATTATTGGATTTTTATCTAATGATATTTGATGTAAGTAAACGTTGTAGGTTTATTGCATACTATCTTAAAGTTTTTCATTCAAGTTAATTCAAGAAGATTTAAATACTTTTAAAAATACTCTGATGCAAACGGCTGCAGCTTTAGCTTTAAGGAATGTCACTACATAAGATTTAAATTAAACAAAACTATTCATTGGAAAATCATAAATTAAAGAAAGTAACAGATTTCAAATCTGGGTATTATTTCGGCAGCAAGATGATATTTGATCACATTACTTACATTTCTGTAATAAGATTTTCGAAATATTCCTTCTGACATTTTTTCTGTCTCAATATATTCCTTAGACTTTAGACTATGACTGTTTGTTTAAATTATTTGAAGGTATTTTTCCATAACTGTTTATTAGCACCTAACTTTATTTATGTAATTTGCAAATTCTTATTTTCTTTCTGTCTAATTTATCCTTACTCACATGTCCATTTTTTGTATATATTTTTTCAACAACACTCACTACTGTCTACTTATAAAAGAAATACGTTTCTTTATTTGTCCTGTTTGTATTCTTTATACAGTAAACAAGAAACAATCTCTCGGATTTGGGTGTCACGTAATAATATCATTACAAGTTTATATAATATAATTTATTTAGCGCTTATTCTGTAACAATAGCAACAATAATAATAATTTATTTTTCTCTCAGACCTGATCTAATAAACATGTCAGGAATAGTCAAATTTACAAACACAAACATAAATATAAATTACATAGAAGAATAGAATCCTAATACGGACTATAAACATTTATTTGCTAAATATTTATTATTATTTTATTTTGTCTTGAAATTCACTACTTATTATTATTAAATATTTTAGGTCCTACAATGTTTGTAGAAGGAGTAGTTAAATTTAATCGTGCAAATGGTATACGAAAATTATGTTTTTGTCTGGTATTGACATTGTGATACTCGTCATTTATCACAACTTAATCTTAATCTTAAAATACGTTTCTGCGCAATAAAAACATGGGACGAAAGAGTTGAATTACCCCAGAAACAAACACCATATCTCAATCGAGATTCAACTTGTTGGGCATAGTATAAACAAAGGAGTTGATCGGTACTTAGGACTGTTCTAATATTTCGAAATAAATAAGTTATTGAAGACAACTCTGATATATTATATTTTTACAGTTACATTATGTCCAGTATGTATAGTTATTAGAATTGAAGATGCTAGCTGAAAGTAGATCTTACGTTATTTTTGTTTCTCATTTTTAAATTGGATAATTCTTGAGTAAAAACTGGCATTTGAAGCTATTCGATTTACGGATAGCTAGGGAGTCCTTTAATATTTATCATTGTTTTTAAGATTTGTATAATTTTTTAAACGAAAAAGTCTACCTACTTGTTTGTTATTGATAAAATGATCCATTTCATAAGATACCATCTTATTTATATTATCTACATCTTAATAGTAATAAATACTTGAAAACAACAATGGATTGTTTATGTAGAAAAATAAATGCCTAATCTTAATTGTCATTTGATATTGTGATTTGTTTAACGAAGATTGAATTGCAACTCCCAATTTCAGGAGCTAACAATTCTCTTCTAATTTTGCAAGACCTGTCTAAATTCAAGAGATTTGCCACCATTTTATGGACATCTTATTCTTCCAATTAATCCTTTATTTTTAATTTCTGAATCGTTTTATCATGTCAAGTTTCTAGTAGTTAATTGGTTTATTGCGTTCATTTGTTCAAGTTGTATTTAAATATATAGAAATGTATTAACACGAATTCTGTTTGTTTCTGTTTTAGTGTATGTTTCGATTATATTTATCTCCCTTTAGTACTTACTAGTGTTCCGTTAGTGTATTTAACAACTGCATAAACCGCGGTATCGTGGGTAATAACTAAAGCGTAGGGAATGTGTCGAGACCGATCGTATCAGGACTAACGTAATATCTCGTTAATGAATTATGGGAAGCAAGCTATTCACTTGTTTTACTAACAATTTGCCCACGGGTAATGCCTGGGTAACCAAGTAAATATAGTTATTAGTGATTATCTCCTAAGAGCTACTAAATTAATTGTTTGCTTATGAAACTAACACTGGATACATCTGTTTTAACTATTTCAAAATGGTATTTGTTTAGCTTGCTATTCTAGGTTCCCTGATTGAGATTTCTCCAAAACCCATAATATTTAAAAAAATTTCAGTCAAGGACATTCATTCATGACTATCATAGGGAAAACTTTTAATATTGTAGATACATATTTAATATGAAAATCAGTTAGCAAGTAATAAAAAACAGTAAACAATTACGAACATAGCAGAAATTATGAAGAATTCACGCATGTTTTGAATTTCGACACCGAAGTCACTCGCGAAGACAGAAATCTATGGCAACACTGCTTAAACGGCGTAATCAACATCAATGAACAAAAATTTTCACCGATCTTTTGAATCCTACCGCCACAGCTGTTCACTAAAAACTATTTCATACTAAGCCAGAGCAGCTGTTGTGCGTTCAAGCTCAGTCCTAGAACACAGTGCCCAATTGGCCCAGGTTTTACCACAATCTTGTGGCCGGTATAAATAGTCGCAAAATTATAAACAGTGAAAAAGATATACAAGCTAAAAAAGCTAAATCGAAATAAATCCAAATAAAAATCTTCTGTGAAAAATACTCAGTCGGAAGGTTCAATAAAAAGTATCATGGAGATGGCGTCAATAAATTATAGGCAACAACAGATCGCGTTCTACTGCTTAAACAACAGGTTTCAGGTCGCAAATATAGAAATAGCAAGAGGAAACAGGTGAACAGCGATAGTCTCTCAAAGTACATTTCTTGAGTACTATGCGTTGTTAGAGTATTCCGCAGTAACCTAATTCCTTGGGGTTGAAATTTTGAACTGTTGCCGCAAGAAGTAAGAAAGAACTGTAATACTGAAGGAGCTACAGGAACCTCAGGCCAGACGTGAGGCTCTTTCATAATATAACATAAAATGTTCACACAAAATCTCACTCAAACAGCGCCATCTTTTGGTTGTTCATTTTGGCTTCGAAAATATAAATGGTACATATTGTAATTTCATTTTTTACGGTTAAAAATAACATACGTTGAATACATAAACGACAAATCGTACTTTGGAAAGCCCTAAACATTTAGCAAATTCAATTGCATTTCATAATTTAGCTGTTAATAAGTTACAATGTTATAAATCGTTATTTTCTTATTGTGACATTCCATTTACGTACATAGTTTGCTTTATTGATATGCAACCAACTAAACATAGAAGATGATGGTTGACGTTAGATGGCGCTCCATGTATGTGTTTTGTAAAGTTCCCGAACTGACCGTGTTTTGATTATTTGTGCTCGTGCATATAGATCGCACCTCTCGATCTGCTGTTCTGTCGATCTCGAGTCGTTCTATAATAAATATAAGAAAAACTATACAGAAGTATTCACAGTTAATATCAATGTTCTTTTGTTCTAAATTTATTGTATTACATACTACAGCCTTGACTGTCATTTCTTTTATATCCAGTCACCAAAAATTCTTTCTATGATGGCCAACCTTTCAAAACGATCATAATTTTTAATTAGAAAAGTTCGATGCCGTATTGGTTTTGTGGAAGATTAATTGATTTAAGGTTTATTAATAATGGATAATAGAACAGGCAAATAGTAATCGATCAATGGAGACTAATAATCGAGGATGACTGTCTGTCGGTCATGGCGCGTGATTTAATGTAGCCAGAGAAAAGTCTTGTAGTACAGGAGGTTCATCTCTCGTAATGGTCTACGGTTAGGAGGAATACTTCTCACGATCAGACACGATGTACAGGGTGTTGCAGCAATATTAAAGAGTTATATTCTCATAAAAAATATAATAAAGTATAGTGCATTTTTTTCTGAATGATCTTTCAAAGGCGGGATACATTTTTTCAGTACTTACGAGCGATTCAGACTTCAACTTCAAACAAAAAATTCACCTTTTAGTTACACATATATAAAATCACCATGGGACATCAGAATTAGGACGGTTTGAAAGGTTTTCACTGTAAAAAATGTTCGAAATCAGATAAATCTATTTTATAGGTTTTGAACTATTATAATCAAAGTCTTTGTGCACATCGATCATTTTTTTATTATGACATGCAGCAGTAGAACTATTTAATTTATAATTTTTACAGAAAATATTTGATAGTGGTTCCTTTTTGGTTTTAAATTCTGACGTCATTACTATTGTGTCTTAAATGTGTTGTTTTAAGGTTTGTGTCAAATGTGTTTGTATGTATTTTTTCGACCACATCGCATTTTAGAAGCAAATAAACCAAAATCAGGTATCATTGCATTGGTTTGAGCTAATGTTAAAATTGACAGATATAATTTTAATCAACAATTAACGCCGAAATGTCGATTTGTAATTTCATGCTCATTCGTGAAAATTATTAGAAACATAGGCGAAAATTGTTATTCTCCGTGCCACGCCTTCTGTTTCTCGTGAAGGATAGTTTGGATCACCTGGGATATGAGTAGA